AATGAGCTACGAACGGCGTTATTTCGTAAAATAATTAATTATTAACAATCTCTACTGGTTTTATAGCCCGCACCTGAAGGTTTAGGAATGTACTCACATGATGATATCCGAGAAATATCTGTTTCATTTAAGTCGTACACAATTAAGTGTTAAAGGGTTAGTTATACGAGTAGTTCGTATGTATGTAAAGTTTACATTAACTAAAATAACGGATAACTGAAATTTTTAATAATCACGTAGGTATTTAGAGGTCTTGTGAAAGAGTTTGTCTAGCGAAGTACAGCCACGTTACCTATTTCTGCCGCCAAGCAGTATGTTAGCATTACTGTTATCAGGTTTTGAAAGTGCTGGTGAAATTACAGGCACATGGGCCTTGTCAACTTACGTGTAGCGCACTATAAGTTTCCGGAATGAATAAGAAAAAAATACTACCTATAACTGGTAACCCAAAAATGAATTTATTGTTTCTCAAAATATTCTCCGTCAGCGTTAATGCACTTTTTCATACGAACGAACCAATTTTGAAAACATTTATGCCACTCCTCCGTAACAATCTCTGAAACATATTTTTCATACTTTTCGACAGTCTCTTTAGGTGATGAAAATCGTAGACCGCGTAACTGGTTCTTAATTTTTGGAAATAAATAAAAGTCACAAGGTGCCAGGTCGAGACTGTACGCGCGGATGGCTCATAAGGTCACCGTTGTTCACCTTCAAAAATTCATTTGTCTGTTTGGCCGTGTGAGAACTGGCATTATCGTGGTGCAAGATGATACGGCGTTATTTTTACGGAGTTTGTCAATAACGTCCGGCAAACAAATGGTCGTGTACCAATCACTATTCACGGTATAACGATTCTCCAAAGCAACAGTAGCTAAAATAACAATAGGTAGTAAAATTAACAATAGGTATGCGCAATTAGTTCATCGAGGCTCAATATTGGACACGCTACATCCTCCGATATGGGTTCAGAAGGCTGTTACCGCTGCCATGCATCCTGCTCGTGGTGACCAAATGCGTTTTAATGCGTACGACTGCGTCAAAACCGCCAGTAGCCTTTCCTGCGTATAGGCAATGTAGAAGTACTACAGTTCAGACTATGGAGCAAAACGTTTCTTTTTTACCTGTGTTAGCCTTGACTCTCACTACCATTTGTTCAACTTGAAACATTTTAATGCAGGCTTACCTATTACATTATAATCTACCTAGACATTATGCTTGTATATGTCCAATATGAGCCGAAAGTGCACAACAGCCCTTTGAACCTAAGAAGTTAATTTGGTATTAGATTAATTCGTTACGCTTAAACGTAAAATGCTCGGTTAATGGCGTTCGTTAAAATTAATTAATACGTTAGCTTACGTAACTTCTACCTTGCGTTATGTTATTATATATAAATTATGTTATATATGACATACATAAATTGTGGTTACCAGGTTTTCTTCTACGTTTACTAAACTTCGTTCAACCTTCCCAATTATTTGCCTCTGTAGGTAGGTACTGTATATTAGGTATTGTTTTCATTGAACGTTGGGATTGATATTAAAATAGACCAATATCAAAATAGCGTAATTTTTTTTATATTTTGCGAATACGAATATAAGTAAGATTTATCCGTACTCCATTCATTTATAAGATGTTACATTTTGGATTACTGTGTTTAAAAAAAGTCTAGGTGATCTTAGTAGTGCGCTGTAGTTAATACTGGTATAGGTACATAGAACAGGAAAAATTAAAAAAGAACACTTTTAATAGAAATGTCAAATATTGTAGAATCTTATCAGGTACTTGCAATAATTCTATAGATTTTTATTATTGCAAGTTCTGATTTCCATCAGAAGTTTAATGAAATTTAAAGCTATTACCTACAACTGCACTCTCGTATATAAATATTGTTTTTTTGCGATAATAGGAACGAGATGTGTACATGTAACATAATAAGGTTTCAAAATGGCCACCTTAATCCGTAAAGTCAGTCCGTCAGAAAATGAAAGTATTGAAAAAAAATATTATGAAAAAATGTCGGAAAATCAAACTATTGAAGAAAAATTACAGTCTAAGATCTGGCTACATGACCAATTAGACGCCTTAGCCTGTCCCGAAGGACGAACAATTTTACTAATACCGTAACATGTTGAAACAAAATTGAAATTTAATTTTAAATAGTCCCCGCCAAAAAACAGCGTTCTGTAAAAAGTCAATAATAATAATTTTCAGTTAATTAATTTTCAAATGATGCCGGAGGATTGCTAAATTAATAAAATAGCCAGTTAGTAATATGTAATATCATCTATCTACCAACTACACGTCGTGATGTATTCAATGAATCGGTACAATTTCCACGGATCTAGTTGTGACGACACCGACTTCCTTCATCGTAATCCCACCTTTTTGTCATCCTCTTTTCTGGTTCCTGGCCACTTATTTTTGAAATTTTGAATTGTTTTCGAATTCTCTTTTCCTTCACTTCCATTCCTACGTTTGTTCTATCCGTCGTCACTCCTACCAACAAGATTATTGAGACGAGAAGACGAACTCATAACTCACCGATCACCTTCATTTCCTTCCGATCACCTTCATTTCCTTGTAGTAAAACTTCACGTCGATTACTGTTAAAATTGTATAGTTATTTGTACCCTTTTGCAGTGAGTGTTGTGTAATCATTATAGGGAGTGTTTTATAATAATTGTACCTTTTCTTTATTATTTGTTACAGCCGGGTCGTTTTCTCTTTTAACATTTCTTACTATAAATCTTGTGCACCGAGCCTTCTCTAATCTCATTTTACCAAATCTAGGATACATATCATCAACTCATTTATACGTCCCACTGCTGGGCACGGGTTTCCTCTCAGGCAAAGGTTTACGCTATAGTCCGCCACTCTGGACCAACGCGAATTGACTTCACACGTTTTTGAGGGTTGTGAACCTTCTTCGACATGCCCGTTTCATCACGTTTTCCTTCACCGGAAAGCTCATGGTAAATTTCAAATTAAATTTCGCACAAATCCCGAGAAACTCAAGAGGTGCGAGCTCGCATTCGAAACCACGGCGTCGACATGAGAGGCGGTAGGTCAAACCCATCGAGTATATAACCAGAAATAGAGACGTAATGTCATTTAATTTGTTTAACAACTGCGCTCTGATTGGCCAATCCGAATTCGAAACAATTGACGGGAGTCGTCAACTGTTGTTTCATCAATTCTTTCACATCAAATCGACCAGTTTAACTTGAGCTTTGCTATAATGGACAAAAATTGAAAAATTACATACTCCATTACCGATGAAATGTGATTCCTTTTGTTTTGTAATTAGATGTTTTGCTGTTTTTCCCACACCACCGAATGGAACAGCCCTCCATAGTTAGAGATATTATCCTTCAGTACAGGTCTACTTTGCCGATCGGTCCACTTTCACTATTCGTCTACTTTCCCGATCAGTCCATTTCTTTATTACAATAAATACAGAATATTTTTGGAATATAGGAGACGTACACACACGTCAGTTGTTGGCGCTGTACTATTTCAGCTTTCTAATTTGTGATTTCAGTGCAAACTAGAGTTGATATTTAAAAGTGATATAGGGGTCATTCGCCGATGAGTTGTCAAGGATGGATGGCCCTTAATTCGTCTCTTTTTCTGGTTATATACTCAATGGTCAAACCATTAGGCTACCGCGGCTTATTAGGATACTTACATAGTGTTTGATAAGTCTATACCTACCCGTGCGGTGACTGATCATCTTTCATCGACAGATCCTGACTTAGAACTTTTCAACTTTTTAAACTACTATAGGCAATTGTCTGATTTTTCCTTGAGTTTTGTATACACGCTTGAATAACGTGTATTTCGACAGAAAAATATTCTCTATACCTAAACCTAAGACTGTTCGCTACATAACCTTAGTAAGCGGTGAACTTAACGGTTTTCATTTTTGATAGCCTACCTAACGTACCTATACGAAAACTTCACATTCTTACGACGTAACTACATAATATAAGTATATAATATGACGTTTGCCAGTTTAGATTATTATGTATTATATAATAGAACAATGTTGGAATCATTGTTTTGCCTACCTTTTCTTATATCAGTTTAATAATCAGAATCAATCATTGTAGAATTGTGTGTATATATAGAATCTGTTTTCAAAGGACATTTTTGTTTAGTAAAGATACGTTGTTTATTATAATATTTGTTTTGTTAGAATATCGAGATATTTTTACTGGCACGATATTCATCTATTTTTTGTGAAAATACATTGGCTCATACAAAAGCTCCATTGGTAAGAGCGGTCGCCACATTGAGGCAACAGACACTGGATCACGTCCTGTCACATCGAAGGATTTTTTCTTGGTGTCAATAATAGTTTGTTGTATGTATTTCAACCGTTCGATAGTAGATTTCGACGGTGTTTGTACCAGTTTCTTTTTTCATAGATTTCAGTACAAGCATCCCATAGGGTCATGAAATGATTTAGGAATGTCATTTAAGTTAATAAAATAATAATGGTCCCGTCTCTTGATTTGCTGACATCGTTGTTTATTAACATTCTTAATTTTTATTACAGGGAATATTCTACTGATGTTTGATGATAGTATCTAATATTGAGGTAGGATTTTAATAGTTAGCTAGATTTAGCATATTTTAAAATGTTCAGTAGTTTCTCTAAGGAAGTTAATTCAGTCAAGTCATATCGCGAGAAAAAATTTTCAACTGGGCTTAAAAAATTATGAATGAAGAAAAGCATGTATAGGAAGCAAATTATTTGGTGACTTTGATACAGGAATATTGTTCAGTGGTTAACGTGCTTTTTAACACCTTTTACATAAAACAACTTTTTTATTATATTTTTCGATATCACTAAAACATATTTTAGCTAGGTACCGAAAATGTAAGTTATTTTTATTGTTTTTAATAAGTAAAATGCAAAATATTTTATGAACATTTTATTAATACATTTTATATTGCGCTTAAATTCTAATATAATGTTAATGACACACAGACTAATAAGTAGTAACACATAATTAAATAAATAGGTAGTAGAGAGTCAAGTAACTTCAAGAAATAAATTAACACCTACAGGTATGTTACGTAGGTATATCTACCATCACAGCCGAAGAAAAAAAATCGGAACGTAGTGACGAGATAAAATAAATAAAAGCAATGAACTTATATCTAAAAAATTAAATGTAATAAATATAGTCATTACATTTTATAATACTCTTCATAAATGCTTATATCTATAAGGCACTATGGATATATTACCCAAATATAATATTCTGGTAATTTACTTGTTTTATAACAAGCACAAAAGTTTCGTGTTTCCTTATTTTTTCAATTAACAACATACTGTTTGTAGAAAAATACTTTCAATATTTTTAAATTCATGCACTGAAACAACAAAACGTTAAATTGAATTTTAAAACATCGAGATTGAAAGACAGTTGTGGCAAATTGGTATAAATCCAAACAAAATATTCATGAACAATTACTTTTATTCACTATTCTAAAACAAAAAATACCACAGATCGCGAAGATACAACAAATTAAAAAACGAAGTAAAGTAAATGATGAGTATTTTCTTGCATTATCTATAGTAAATTTTGTTTCAGAAAAGTGTGTCGACTCGTAATAGCGACTTCTGATATTATGAACTCACTGTAGAAGGGACTCCTTGTCACGCAGCATCTTAGCTGCTTGGAAAGTGTTTCGCATAAGCATTGCGACGGTCATTGGTCCCACTCCACCGGGCACGGGTGTTATGGCTCCTGCTATTTTGCTTACCTCTGAGCAGCAAAAGAAAAAAACTATATGTTAGGCTCCAGCTGAAAACCAGCACCTAGGCTCTGTCCAACATAAAGCTGAGCTAGCTATTTTGTGTATTTTAGGTTTTTAATTTATTATCTTCTTTTGTTTTTATCTGATACGAGTTGTAAGGTTTGTAATATTATTTGTGAATAGCTGAATAAATGTGTCTTTCTTTTATATGAGCTGAAATATCACTCCAAAGCAAAGACTTTGGAAACTTTTAGATTATATTAACATCACCTACCCATTATTATGTTCCACTACTCTCCAAACAGGTTGGGAACCTTTATCAAAATGATTTCCTTTACTGTTAGCAAAAGGTATTGCTACTAAACATTTACAAATGGTACCAACACAAGTCAGAAATATAAGTCATTAAATGGATTATGGATATCATTAACAATATGTCCATGAATAAAAAATAAGACTCACCATCGTAGTCAACATCTCCTACAAGTTTAGTCTTTCCCTGTTCATTAGTAATTCTGGTAATTCCTACATCAATTACTGTAGCACCAGGTTTCACCATGTTAGCTTGAATCAGGTTTGGCACTCCTAGTAGAGAAGTATTATATTATAAGAATGGAACCATAATGCTTTAAATGAAAATTTTGACTAATTATACTGTTTTTGCATTACAAAAAGCTAGAAGTTTAAAAAAAATCACTAAAAGAAATTGCAGAATATGAGTAAATATACCATACATGGAATAATTAAGTTAACTATACTAAGAATAAAATTACCTGTAGCACTAATAACAATATCAGCATTGCGACAATATGAGTCTAGTTCCTTTTTTGGTGTGTACCGATGGCAAATTGTCACAGTTGCGTCCATTCCTAAACCACTGCTGTGACTTTTGTCACTATGCAGCATCATGGCAATTGGCATTCCGACGTTCTTTGACCGACCGACTACGACTGCGTTACGTCCGAAAGTTTCGATTTTGAATCTAAAAGCAAGTAATTGTATATAAATGTTAGTCCAACAATCGGGGTTTTAATTATGCCTAAATGACTTTCTGTTGATTTTTTAGTTTATGAAACAATACATTGTGTTTTATGTGTCTTTTCTTTGAGCATTAAAGAATTATATGTTATTTGTTTCATTCTGAGGCACCCCATTCTTTGGAAATGTTTTAAAGTACAAAGTTGAAATATAAAATTGACTAATATAAACAAGAAAGGGACAAAACACAAATGTGAGGAACAAATCATTATGTGCTTAGTGAAATGATGCATGATCTTACCTTTTCAGCATCTCAATAACAGCAAGGGCAGTCGCAGGCACGAGTGTCGGCATATCAAGAGCCAGCTGTCCAACATTGATGATGTGGAAACCATCAACATCCTTCTCTGGAGCTACGGCATTGCACACTTTCCTCTCATCCATAACACTTGGCAGTGGCAATTGAACCAGAATTCCATCAACTTCACTATCTTTGTTTAAAGCATCAATTGCAGCAATAAGTTCTTTTTCAGTCAAATTTGCATTATATTTTATTGTCTCAGCAGCAATTCCAACATCTATTGCAGCCTGAATTTTGTTCTTTACGTAAGTGTGACTGGCTGGATCTTCTCCTACAATAATGCAGCGAAGAGATGGTGCTCTAAGCCCTCCTTGTACCCATTGATGGATTGCGATTTTCAATTCATCTTTAATTTCTTTAGCTAGCTTCTTTCCATCAAGGATTTGGGCCATTATACTATTTGAAAAAAAAACAAACAAATACATAAGCAAGCATTGAACATCTTATAAAAAGTTTCAGTTAGTTGAAGCTGCAACAATATTGTAAATAAGCGCTTATGAGTACTAATAGACTACAGTTCGATAATTAAAACTACACTATCTAATAGTCATCTAAAAAATTAATGAACACAGAAACCAAAAAGTGTACACAAAGTTTTTGTTAATATAAACCAATTAATATAAGGAGCCACAGAAAGCACACTGTGAATGTCTTTTCTTTTAATTTACCTGGCCGCGCCCAGAGAATCAAGATATGTGTGGCTTCTCATCGTGAATGTCAGATATGAACTGACTGCACGAAGGCAAATGATTTGCCTCATCTCCTACTGTTGATATATATATAGGTCGTTAGGTCACGTGAGCAATACAATTCATTATCTTACACACTATGGAAATAAAAGATAACAGTAGAATCCACATTTTGCATCAACAAGTTTCTGGATAAAACCAATTTTCAGTGGAATACTGCAGTAAATTCAAAGCTTATTGTAAAAATAGGTTATTAAGTTCACCTAGATATAGAAAACTGGATGTAACTGCTTTTTGATTCAGTTATTTTTTATAAAACATGTAAACATTACTGGTTTGCACTAGATTCCCAAGTTGCAAACACCAAATAGCTTGATAAAGAAAACATTACTTGCACAATAATACAGTTTTAAAATTACATACCTTGAATTGTTGGATATAAAGTGTATTAATTGACTTACAGTTTAAGGCGAAGTGACTAGTGCTAACAGATTTTAAATTGTTTGACAAAACACGCATTGAAACAATGCAATTTCCGTAGATTTGCGAAACAAATTTGATCCTACGCCGAAATGACACATTGTACCCGGTTTTCCTATCAAATTCCACGTAAATATCGATGTAATTTAGTCATGTATAAACTTTTCGTAGTGAGAAATAAGTACCATATCGATACTTTCAAGGTAAAACAATATGATTTGCTTACATGTGGAATTTTACGCACTGGACACGTCTTGGTAAGGAAAAATCTCTTACAAACTTTGTGGCACTAACAATCAGGTTGATTATAATTTAAATGATATGGAAACGTGTTGCTAAATGCATAAATTGTCATTAACGTAAGTAATTACAATTTTTTTCCAAAACTTTTTCGAAATACAACAACCCGTGTTGAGGTTAGCTCTCCATCTGATATGTCAATGTCAAAATTGTATGTTCGTTTTTGGCTTGGATACAAGTAATTGCAAGTCAAGCCATGTCTTCGTTTAATTATGTTTCTCTAAATATGGCCGCTACAAAGAGAATAGGCAATTTGAGGCGGCGTACTTGGATTGACTCGGGATTCCTTAGAACGGGTATTTTAGTTCGAGATTCGTATAATTTCGCGTTTTAATCTTCGATTAAGGCACAATAGTACTATCCTATTTCACTTTAAACTAGATTTCACAAAATAATTGAAAGTCAAAATAAAAACGACACTTTTCCCTCCAAAAGGCCCAGAGCGAATCTCAAAATTGTATGGTGTATTTGCTATGTTCAGAAACTCGAAAATTTTTCCTTCTAAAATTCATTCTCTAATCCTATGACATTAATTACTTATTTTGTTATAGAAATACAATGACGCATTTCTTATCAGTCATGTTTTAAAGTGCTGGGTTCATGACGTTACTTGTAGTATATTTATCGGCGTAAGCAACAACAAAAAATATCATTTAATTTTTGTAAGTAAGTATGTTAAATAGTTGCATAACTACATTTTATAAATTATAGTAGGCGTGTAACACTTCAAAGACAAATCAACCATTCAATGGAATTTTAATATTTTTCTCCGCTTCGAGGATTTCAACATTTTTGACACTATTTGTGAACTACATGCCATCGCATGCTTATTCAAACAAAGAAATAAATCAAATTTAATGTTTTTTGGCAATTAAGGTTTAAAGTTTTGCATACTTCAGGCATAAAGTTTGTATGTGGATAAGAAAATATGTAGATTAATTTCAACAAATAAAATGGTTGTAATTTGTAGATGAGTGTGTAAGGATTTGCAGGAGTCATTTAAAAATATAATTTATTTATTCTTTAAAATCAAAATTACGATTAAAAAAAAAGTTTCTACTTAATTCACTTTAAGATTAAAACTTGGGATATTTTATCAAGTATCACGCGAAAGAAGCCACAATAAGCCTGTTTATTATCAAAAAGAAAATCAACCATAGGGTTAAATAAGGTTTTACTCCACTTTTATTTTCAAACATTTATAATTACTTTTATGAAATTTCGTATATTCCGCTCCCTTTTTATGAAAATTGACGGAGTCAGTTTCTTGATTTTTTTTTAATATTAAAACAAAATATGAAATTATATTTTATTTCAATTATATTTAAATCAATAAACTTTAACAAAAAGTATAATGGGAACATATTCTGTCAATAGTGAACTAAAAATCTCAACAACGCCAAGCTTAGCTTCCGATTCTGTCCAAAAGTAAGAGTGAACTACTTCCTTCATACGCCATTTTTGAGTTAGTTTCATAATGTCATTATGATTTTGTTTCATGCATAAAACGTAATTTATTGTGTTTTCATAATGTAGGTACTTACTATGTACTTATATTGACTTGAGCAAACAAATAAAATACAAATAGGTACTTAAATAATAGTTAAATAATTCTTTGGAATGTGAATTGTCAAATGATGCGGAGAAAATTTTTGTCTTAAATGAATACGTGCTACTTTTTATTTAATATTTATGAACGTTAAAACAAATAAAAATACTAGAAAGATATATTTATTTATCCACAAATTGACATAGACCATAATATATAAGCGAACAATCAAAACAGAAAACAGTAATGTAGGCAAAAAGGATAAAGACTCAGCATTGCTGATTTTCAGTCTACATCTATAGCAGTAATTCATATTTCTGTGCTTAGTAAATACAAATTATTCTTTGTGAAAAAAAAAACCCTCTGTCAAAAACATGCTAACTCAACTCGACTTATCTTTTTGTCTAATCACTACGTATCTAGCTGCTTTTGAACTGTTGATAATTTTCGTGTATAAGAAAATAATTTACTCTTTTCTTGTGTATATATTCGATTTTGTATGTCACACTTAAATTATAAGTCTAATGAATTAACTTCAATTGTGAATACTGTGCATACTATCAGTAATGCAGTTGCATTGTTACCTACACACAACTGAATTAATAGTACATTATGATAAAAGTGCGGTAATTTTCAAAGCGCACGTATGTCATACGACGTTTTATAACATATTTGCGAGGAAATAAATAAGACTCTGACTTTCTTAAACGAATAAATCTTTAATTACTTGTTAAAGCAGTTATAGAAATTTGAACAATTTTTAAAAGTGATTGTTACGTTGCCAGTTGGCATTTTAAATGTTGTCAAGTTATTATTATTAGTTACAATCTCCCCAGCCTCTCTCTCACTTTCTTGAGTGAAAGTAGGAGAAACGAGACCACAGAGTTCTGCTGTCGGTGGCGGCGGCGGAGGCGGTTGCGGTTGCGGCGACGATGGTTGAAATGTACGCGTGTGTGCTCGTAGATGGTTGAAAGTCAACACTTGACTCCAAATTTATGTTCATTACAAGGAACATAAATTGCGAGAGCTAATTTCTTTTTTATTTCTTATCGAGTCTTCTATGTATCCTTCGGCTACATTGCTTAACCGCCATCCTCCGTCGCGTTTTATAGTGTCAATAAGTCCGCACCTGAATCGGCGAGCAATGTAGCCGAGGACCTTCTGAAACTGTGCCCTGTGTGTTATTCATGTGCTTGAGGCAAATTTAAGAAAGTGGCAATTTCTTTCGGCATTGCTCCACATTTATTAATGCCAATGGGTTGGTTAGTGCATTTTCCATTTTGGTAATTTTGAAAAAAATCTGTTGGAATTAGCTTTTGTTGAACGAAGCGCTTCGTATTTCTTCACTACGTCGTAAAAAGGCCCCTGTATTGTGAACGACCTTGGAATTTTATTTTTTGTGTTTTTATCCTGGACAAGAAGAGACATCATTAGTTGTTATGTTTGCCAACTCTTGACGTCTACATGCACCATTTATACCGAGTATTAATACAACCTGAAAAGAGATAAAAAGAACGTATAAACACCTATATTGTAAAGAAATACGAAAGTGAAAGAAATTAATAACTATAATTTAGTTTCAACTGACCTTTGTTGCCAAATATCGCCAATCCGGAGCTTCTTTTAGGAACTTCTTGATATTGTCTTTTCTATTGTTACTTACATGGCCATCTGAGCGTCTTTTTAGAAATGCTATCAAGTTGGAGTATGACTTGATATCAATACCATGGTTTGTTTTCATAGTGCTTTTTAGCATTGAATAGTAGCACCAAATGAGCTTGACTTATATTTTTGAGAAAGTTCCATGAAATAGGCTAAAAACATATTTTCTGAAAATGAATTTGCATCTTTGCTTGTTTTCCATATGATGAAATTTTGATACGCTTGTAAGTATCTATCGGTCGATTTTTCAGGTAAGAGGCTTAGAGTAGCCTTTTTCGCTGCGTTTAAGACTTGTGGCGGTGTCAAATTAATAAATTCATCACTACTTGACGACATTTTCAAATAAAACAATACAGCGAAAAGAAAAAGCGCGCGAAATAATTTTTACTTGTACACAAATTAGCCATGCGCGCGCATCAACGTTTCGTTTTTAGGCAAAGGTATAAAAATAGCCAGTATTACTAATAAAGTAAATGAATATTTTTGCGTTTTTGTTACAGATAAATGGTTGTAATTTATTGTCAAAACTAATTAAATGAAAGAATTAAATGTTTACTTACTATATTTTATCTCCCAAAGTTAATTTTATTCATAAAATATTGACCACTTTCCTAACATAAAAACTCTTTGCAAAGATTTAAAAAAGTATCATTCATTTTTAGACGGAGCATCTTAAAAAACCGTGCATGTTACTTTATTAAAAAAAAACTCGTGCATTTTACATTACAATAACGTAACATTACAAAAACGTAATGAAATACATTACGATATTGAAATTGGTGTGATTTCAGCCACTTTATGAGCAAATATGTTATAAAATAAATTACTACTGACTAAGCTGTTTTTTATTATCATAGCAATTATGTGACACCTTCTGATAGAGGTGTTTGTGTTTGTAGTTTTTCATTTTGCTTTTCCTTTTTTTGTGATTTCTTACGACCTAATTAGGTAATTAATTAAAACTATTCGTACTTACTTTAATATTATTATTCACCAAGTTACCAACGAGCTTTCACGATGTGAAAATTTATGCAATTTGTAATAAATCACCTATATAATACAAAAACGTTTTAAAGTAACAAATGATACAATTACCTTTTATCAATAAGGACGTAGGTATTGTAGTCTTTTATTTTTTCCTGTTAAGAATGTGTGACACTGTATAACAACTGAACATCTCTTCCAGAAAAAAACGCTTCCTTCATTAGAGCATGTAACCAAAATATTGTGATGTTGATGAGCCACGAAAATTATAAATCTGTCAAATCCATTGACTTACAAATAAATGGACGACGGGTCTAATACAAAAACCACGAAAAAAATGTCCCAAGTCAACCTATTCGAAATTTAAATTGTTATGTCATCGCAGTATCGCGCTGTCCGTAGAACAAATGAAGACTAAAGCGGAGTGTCGCGCTCTGTATACGATTTTAGCGCCTTACAAGTGCGGACACTTTTTAGCGCGGACCCGACGTCCATATAATTGTAAGTCAATGGTCAAATCCATTTTTTTCGGAACACGAATATAAGGAACTTAGCGCAATTCATGGATGATGGGTTAGCGACCACAGAAATCTAATTAACGACATAAAGTTGGCGCGCTCTTTCGGGAAAGTCTGGAAAACAACAATGTCTTTGTACGTAGATTGAAGTCTTTGCTGCAAAATTCCAATGACACTAATCTCTACGTATATTAAATTACTTAAATAAACCACAAAAGCAAATATTTGCGGCAACCGTGACGCAAAAGTGGGTGCGGTCATGACGCTCTGGAGGTCGAGAT